GAGTGTAGGCGTTTAATCGTCGATGCTAATCTGGTAGCTTTTTGGAGAAACTGCAGTCATGTGATCAGACCAAAAGGAGAATCACTGGACTAATTTACCTGGTTTTGCTGATCTCAGTTTGCCTCCCTAGAGAATCCTAATCCCATCTTCCTTTGTTAGGTTTTAACTAGAAAAAAGACAGTTCTGAGGCTGCTCTCCTCTGAGTCCTTTTCTTCTCTTTACAGTCTCACCCAGTGTGGGGGCAGGGGGGGAATGGCAGTATTTGCAGAACTGCAAATTCACTTGCCTTCTGCCTTGCAAAGAATTTAGTAACTTTGCTCTCTGCTGGATGGTTTAATCCAAGAGCTCAGAGGACAGTCTTACTAGTTGTGTTCTGCTGCTGTTGCTTTTGGTTTCAGGCTGACTTCCTCCACCTTCTCTGTCTTCAGGGACACAGACAGAGGGGTAGATGTTTTGCACGTGTCTGCATTGCCCTTCAAAGGCCTACTTCAGGCACTCAAAAGAAGTGCATCCATGACAGCACAGTGCACATGCTAGCCTGCAAAACCCACTGAAGAAGCTGGTTAAATTCTTAGGCCAGTTAAATAGTACGTAGTACACCTGTGGGACTGTATTTCACACAAAAACAGCTTATCAGATCTGGGTTATTGCATCTGGAAGGCACAGAGAACTTTGAAGAAGGCTGGCAAGTACTTGCCAAGATTGAACAGAAAATGTTAACACAACTATCAGGAAGGAAATGTTATGTTTAATTTATGGGATTACACTCAGAATATTTGAGCAATTTTTTATCAACAAATCCAAAACAAGTAACTCACAGTGTGCTTTATTATTTTTTCACAATATTAACTAGACAGAGACAGAAAGTTTAATGGCAGCATGTTCTTACAACGTTTTTAAGACAAAGAACAACATAATCGTATTAAATGATGATAAACTGGCAAACTACATTACCATACATATATCATCCAAAGGTACTGGGTAAACGATACCTGCTTATGTACATTTATGCTGTTGATAATTAAAATTCAAATATCCAGAAGAAAAATATGCTATTTAACTTATAAAAATATACAGGGTTTGTGTGGAATTCTTAATGCTGTATAACTTTTTGGAAAAGATTTCATTGTGTGATGAAGCTGCATTAACTTAATATAGGAGTGTGATTTAAACCAAATACAGATTAAATTGGCTCTTTTGCCTTCCTTGTAATTAGCCTTGATTGAAAGAGAGATAGGAATGAAAAACAAAGCTGAGTTTTTGCAATGAGAAATAATTTTTATACTCATAAATCAAAAGATGTTTAATTTTCCATCTAGCACTGAGCCATAAACTCATAATACAAATGAAACATCTTGCTAGCTTGTTTAAAGATAAAGAGAGGAAAAAAAAGACAGGCTTTAAACATGCTACTTCACTATGCTTTAATCAAGAGGACTTGTAGGTTTGTGGCATGCAGGTGTACAGTGGGCAGTGTCGTGCCTCAGGGTGAAAGCATGCAGTGCTTCTGTCCAGCTGAGACACTGCGTGCATGCCAGGGTGGGAGGGACAGCCTCTGTGTTCTTTGCACTACATCACCTTCATGTTTCCTTTGCACATCTGGTTTAAGAGAAACATTTTTTTTCCCCATAATTGTTCCTTTTTAGTGCAACCCCCCTACACAGGCTGTGTAATCTCCAATCACAAGAGCAAATCCAGTGATTGGATAATTATATAGTAATTTACAAATTATTTTGTAATTGAAAATTTTTAGTAATTGTAGTCATGTAGTACACACGTTTGTAGTTGGTTTTAGTGAAAAGCTATTTTCAAACCATCTTGGGTGAACTCCTGCATCACACGAAACTCAAGATTTTCTTACATACCAATGTCATACTGCATATCTTCCTGCCGCCTTCCTTATCTGTATATTCTGTGTTACCTCAACAGCCCCATTACTCCTTTGGTGGATCTGGTGCTTGTTGATTTCAGAATACTTAACCTGAAGAATTTTTTCCTTGTTTTCCTGTCTTTTTCCATTGCTGATCTATAACAGATTGGTATCCTGCTGATTTTTTTTCAGATGCAAATTATTTTCCTTCATTATTTTCTTAATAAATTGAGCCAAAAAGGTTTAACAACAAATAAATTGAATACAGTAAAATCAAGTATTTATCTTAAAATCCTACGTATTTCCTATTTTGCAAAAGATTGCCTTTAGAATTAAGAAAGTTTTATAGTGAAGAATAATTGTGAGGTCTCTGTAATGTTTTACTCTGCCCTTGTATCATCCTTTTTCAAGGGAAAGCATGAGAGAAGATTAACAAATTCCAGGTAACACTCATTTTTAACCAAGGAGATATTTCACTGATCTCTGTTTCCCTCTACTTAACTTCTTCCTTTGTTGTCCTCTGTCCTAACCAACTTCAGAAGTGTCCCCCCCTTTTTTTTTCCCTTTTCCCTTTGCCTTCACAACTTGGAAATGCTAGGAGTGGTCAACTTGGTGTGCATATATAGTGATGGGAGGATGGATTTTCACTGAAGCATAGTCTTGGAGCATCAAAGGCATTTTGTGGGAATAAAAATCTCGTGTGAAAGTGTAATAAAGAATGGGAAAGAAAGGAATTATTGCAAAAGAAACACAGGAGTGAGAGGAGAGGATTTTATTAAACAAGTTCAAGCTTTTATATACATTCAATGTTTCTAATACGTTTCTTAATAAATGTATTATCAACTATCAGTATATCTAATGCAGCCACAATACTGTACTATTCTGCAGTCAGGATGGGTAAACTCCATTAGCTCTTTAATAAAATAAACTCCTCAACAGTCATTATGACTCTTCTTTTTGCCTGGTATTAACTAACATACTGGGAAGTCCAGTGAATAGACACAACAGAACACAAAATCCTCAGTATTTATTTAAATGTGTATGATGTGTCTTCTTCATATTATTTCTAAAGCAGCTTTAAACTTTTGCCATTGGAAAGTATTAAAAAATAAAACCCATTCAAATTATCCTGGTAGTATAGCAGCACTGGCATTGATAGTTACTCTTTTACTACTTTTGTCAATGTAAACCTTTAATAAAATAAACAATATTGAAACGATTTAGTAGTTCAGGAACTTTAATGGGTGTATGGGCATAAATGGAAATGAAGACTAGATTGCAAAATGAATCATTAGCTCAATACCAGCCAATTCCAGTTGTGAAATTGGCTGCAGACAAATTCAGTGTGGAAGCTGAAAAGAACCAAAGCCCACACTCAGTTCCCAATAGCTCTACACGAGTATGCCCACTTTTGCTAGAAGCACTCTGAAAACATTGCAGGTGCTGTTTGTTTGATGGTCGGGTTTTTAATTTTTATTTAATCAAGCATAGTTCACATTTTTGTGTTCTTAGAAACATTTCCTTTCTATGTTTCTATAAAATTAAAATAATTTGAAATCTGAAATGTAAGCTCGCTCCATCTTTGCTCATACAACACGAGTATGCCCACTTTTGCTAGAAGCACTCTGAAAACATTGCAGGTGCTGTTTGTTTGATGGTCGGGTTTTTAATTTTTATTTAATCAAGCATAGTTCACATTTTTGTGTTCTTAGAAACATTTCCTTTCTATGTTTCTATAAAATTAAAATAATTTGAAATCTGAAATGTAAGCTCGCTCCATCTTTGCTCATACAAAGTGTAGGTGCCACAACTAAATAGCAGTAAAAAAGCTGAGATGTAAAACTCTTACAAAAAAAACCCAACAAAACAAAAAAGCAGCTTTGAAGATGCAACATCAACTACAGCCTTAACACTGAACATATTACATTCCCAAGTTAATGGAGATATTTTGCATATAATGCCACAAAGTTATTCAACTGAAATCTTGAGGTTGAATCTACAGTTTATTCACTGTATTTTTTTTCACCCTTAGAGCACTTATGTATTGAACAGTACATTTTATCCAGAGCTTTGCAGCCTTTTCTTTTTTATGTCTGGACGTCCATCTGCCCACAGATTCCAGATTTCAAAAGTTTCAGAGAAAAAATAGGAGTGCTTGAGTGAAACATTTGAAGCTGGACATTTCCACACCTCGAAGCAGCCTGTGGGACATGCTTCAGACTCTTGGGCACCGTCGGGACTCCCGGTCCCCGCTGAGCACATGGAAACCTCTGCTTTAAAATGCATTGACACATCTGGTTTCAGAACGCAGCTCTGTTTACAAACTGTATACTGAGCATTCTGCATTCGTGCTCCTTGAGCTCCATTTTGTAACACGAGCAGATGACTTTGTGCACTCCCCTTTTCCTCCACACGGGTTTTGCTTGAAATGACAGCAGGCACCTGCGCAACTGAGGTGTCGGAGACTATCTGTCCAGAGAGAGGATTTGGAGTTTCTTCATCATCTTTGCTTCTGTAGACAGTCTTAGGACATTATTAGCATGACATAATTTTGAGGTCAAGGGGCAGAAGAATAAAGCTCACTTTCTTTTCCTGTTATGAAAATGAACTTGGTTTTGGTGTCCAGTTTGATAAACAAGGATAGTCAGAGCTAATCTGTAACTCAGCTGAGGTCTGCTTCTTGCCAAATAAAATTTAGATCTTTTTCAATTTCCAGGGATTTAGAGACCGCATCTAATTGGTTTCAAACCCCTGGAGGAACTCAGTAAGTAAACAGGATTAGTTGCAGATATGAGCCCCACTAAAGTGGGACACAGGTCAGGTCTTCAGACTCCAGCTCTGCTCTTTCAAAGCAGGCACTTAAGGTCTCCTGATGTTTCTGTGTCAGTAGCCACAAAAAACACTTTACTGCTGAGCAAATAATTGGAACGGCAATTGCCTGCAAGCCCCAAAGATTTAACTTCACACTTCTATTTAAAAAAAAGGTAATTGACATGTATTAGGGCACTGTGATTATGATGTCATGACACAACTGGTAACTTGAAAACTCATGTTTACAAGGCATAGGCAATCATATTTCCAACTGTTCTCCTGCAGGGATAGCCAGGTGTCCTTCAAGAAGTTACCATCTTGACTCCACGTACGTACCATGTTGAATCATTTACTCCATCAGTTCTTGCCAGCAGGACAGGGTGAGAATTCTGTTCACACTGACCTTGTCTTTCAGATCCCTCCCAGCCATCCAGAAATTGAAAGGAAAATCAACACAATTATGCAGCCTTTAGCAGCTCAAGTAACTGTCCTTGTAAGTGTAAGCAGGTAGGTCTTTGTCAGTATGTTTGCTCTTCAGAGATAAAATAATCCAGCCAGCTGCATTAATTAAAAAAACAACGTAAAAGACTTTGGAGCTCATTAAAGTTAAGAATAACAACATGATGTGATGATGACAGATACAACTTGCAGAGTTTCTGAAAATAGCAGGTTAAAATGTAAATATCTTTTAATAAATAATTTTCCTGCAATGTAAAAATAAATGATATTTCCTTTGGCAGTAATAGCTGATTTAATCTTTAGCTGGGAAGTTGTTTTGCTCATAAAATATCATTGTGCTACAGAAAAAAAAATATTTTGTTGTTTTGAAAGACTTTTGTAATTCACGATAAACTGGACGACTCTACTTATGTCCAAGATAAGCGCCAAGAGTGATGCAAGCTCCCACCAGAACCAGACTCAGGATGGTCTTCAGAGAGATCCAGGAGAAATCAAACAAAGGCCTCATACTGTTGCCATACAACTCTACGAAGGCATCCTAGAAAGAGAAACAATGGAATGTCAGAATTGCAGTAACTTTTTCAGAGAGGGAGGGCAACTTCTTCACGCTCTGTGGTCATCCAGCAAGCACGCTGGCACAAAAAAACCACAAACCTAATAAGAGAGTCATTTTGGAGCTATGTTATTGTGCAGTGCTTAGCACAAAGTTCTCCTGCCTATTTCTTTACAAATATTACTGTAATTACTTATGGCCATGACTTCTGCTTCAGATATGTCCAGTCTAAACAGAAAATATAGGAGCAGCATTTTTAAATACCACCATTTTGGCTCCTGAATGTTGTATATACAAACATACACAAAGGAGATAAATGGACCTTCATTCTCCAAACCTTTAATTTCTACTGGACATGGGGCACCCGTGTTGCTGGTTGGCTTTGTTGAAAACAAGGCAGTATTTATTTATTCCATTGATATGGGTTCAGAAGACTCTCTGTCGTAGACACAGATGTTTCTTCCATACGAACTGAAGCTGTTGGGGTTGTGTTACACCTTTGGTGGTCTTTCACAACTGTCACCAAAAGGGGTGACTCCTTGGTCCTGTGCTCCTGCTAATCGTGCCTTGGATATGGCTCTAAGGTCCGATGGGCCAACCAGCTGATCTGACAGGCCTGCCTAAAAAAAGCTGTCTTGCCATAGGATTGTCTTGTCAGTCTGACTTGCCCACTAGCCTACAGCCAAGACATTGGCTGTAGGAGAAGGAGGGGAAGCATACAGAGATGCCACTTGTCATGGCTGTCCACAAGACACCTGGTGTGAGGTGCAGGGGAAGTCCTCAGCCCAGCCCAAACCACCCTGGGTTTCATCCTTCGAGCTGCAGTTCTCTGTGTAAGGAGAGCTGTTTTGTAAAGCTGCTTTGTGAAAGTCTGGAGGTGCATGTAGGCATGAGTGGAAAGGCTGTTTAAGTAGCAAAGATAACTTTTTTCTGACTCGTGAATCCAATCAATCAGGTCTGACTGGGCTAGAGATCAGATTGCTAGTACTCCACATGTAAGGCCTTTCTTTCAGGCTGCAATTCCTAACAAACATGAAGCTTCAGAGCATTCTTGGGAGACTGACGGATCATACTGTATGGCGTGAGAGCAGTAAGTAGTGAAGCTGAATGAGTTTAAAACTGTGACGAAACTAATAGTGTCACTAAGGGCAACCCTTCTATTGTGTAGCCAACCAAGATCTATTGCCAAACTACTGAGATAAACACATGAATTAGATGTCTAATGTGGGGGCTTTCTTTTCTACCTTTTTTATTCTAGACTTCCTATTTTTGATAGAAGTTAACATTCTCTATTTATGTTATAGTGTCATTAGCTGTTTTGTACTGTTCCTATACTAGGAGGTAACCTGCCTTCTGAAAATGCTTGTGTGTTACAGCTTACAGCAGGAATTAAGGAGAGAAAGATCCCCATTGTTAATATAAACCTTCCAGCCAAGTTAATTTCCTATAAATTATGTAGTTAAATTCGCCTCCATCATTAGCCATCTCTAGTTATTGCCAGAGTAAGAGCATTTATGGTTGTACCACGAGAGGGCGTGTAAGGTTTTTTTAATACTCCTGTTCACCAGACACTGAGATTCAAATTAATAATAGGTATTTACTTCCAAAATATGTTATTACATTAAGCATGTTGTAGGTAAGGGTGGATGTCAGTAGGTAAGGGTCAGTAACAGAATAGCCATAGGCTTTGGTCAGCAGATTGACCTGAAAATACATCTGCCTGCTGCTATTTCTACATGTTTGTTCCTCCAGGCAATCGTTTTCAAACTTTGCAAACTAGGTTTCCAAAGGTATATTCCTAAGGGGAAAGCAGCTTAACATTTGTGGGGAATGTTTTAATGCTTTAATGTTTTAACTCTTCTTTCTGGAGAGAATTTGGCAACTTTCGCTTAGCTGCCTGGTCTTTGAAATAGACATTTGCAGGCTCTGGCTTTAATATTCTAGTGTGATGTTGTAGAGTGGAAAAAGAGCACTCAGTTTACTGTGCAGCTCTTTGGAAAGTTGCTTTTATTTCTCCTTAAGGCTATGAAGTGACACAATATCCTAAAATGTTACAAATTGGGTTAAATCCTGTTATCACCAGTGTAAACTTGATGACTTCCATGGGAGCTTCGTATAGGGAGGACCAGGCCTTATAAAAATGCAACAATGGTAAAGTTCAATACACAGTGATATTACTATGGGTGGAAAAGAGAAGAAATGAAAATTAAAACAAATCAAAGCAACCTTGGAAATGCAAGTCACGTGAAAATATTTTAACATTAAGATTTTCATGGCTTCTTTCTGTGGGCACGGTCTCACTTCCATATATTCATGACAGCTGATGCATACACAGTATCAGTATCAAAATGAGCATACTTTGTGCCTTCCTTCTATCCCAGTTTGGGAACATTCCTCCCACTTTGTCTGGAAGACCATTTCTAATGATTCAGCATGGCTCCCAGTGTTGAGTATGAGGATGGACAGAGGATTACAGTAAAACTTGAAGATAAGTCAAAAGTATGGCATAACCTATGGCTCAAAAGAGGAATATTAACAAAAAATGTGCAGCAATGCAGTACTTTTTCATCTGAGATTATTACAACAATAACATAAACCCACCCTAATAGTGTCTGCACTATATATTACAAGTAGCTCTTTATGATCATTCCTCCTCCCCTTCTCAAACATCCTGATTAGGCCTATTTCCGAAGCTTGTTTGAACAGCCTGTCACTATTTGTTTAAGTTTCAAACCTGTTTTAAATAAACACATGTCCATTTTATGTACTAAAACAAGGAGGGGGGAAGGGAAGTATGACCCGTGGCTGAAAACTATTTTAGCACAAAGAGAACCCTAAACAGAATGTCAACTGTTTCATAAGGTTTGTCTCCTGCAAAGCCATGGATTTGTCACTGGATTTTTTGGCACCTAAACTGGTCTGTTGAAAATAAGAGAATCTATGCTAAAACAAATAAGATTAGGAAAATTGTTTGAAACACTTATGTCCTCTGAAAAGCACTCTTTATTATAAGAGCAAGGGTCCCCTTCACCAACAGGACTAAGGCAAGTTCTGACTTAGTGAACCTTTTTGGAAGTCTTACAGAATTGGAAAGAAAAAGTTTGTAGGCCTTGCTTTTAAGACCTACCTATTCAAAATTTCACGGTAAGATATACCTTGGATGTAAAATTATATCAGAATAGTTAAAAATGGTATGGAAAAGAACTCTTCATTCAGCTCTGTAAGTTTTTAAAAAGTAATTTCTTAGGAAGCTTTTATTCAGTCAGATCAGTCCATGGCTGGCTTACTATGCAACTTTACATTGACTCTTTCTGTGAAGCAAGAAAGGTGGCAGTGGGGAAGGGAAAAATCCTCTACCTGAGCTCCTTGCTCCTTTTGCAACTCAGCCCTCACCTCTGCTTGAGAGAAAGGGCATTGCTTCGTGGCTGCAGAGAGGTACCTACTTCTAGGGAATGTTACAGGTTTGATGGCTCCTACGGAAAATGCGGTGGGCGTATTTTCAGCCTGGCATTGCTGACTGAGGGGGCAGTGGGGAGAGCAAACACGAGGAAGTAAAGGCTTCCTTTTTCTCCCTGAATCAAACAGCTGGTGAGGAAGTGACTTTATTTCCCTTGTTATCACTGGGTTGGCAGGATATCCTCTTGAGCCACATTGTCTTGAATGAAGAGCTGGCGAGACTTCCATTTTACTGAAGGGGAATTGCCTGGTGGCTGTTTCACGCTGCCCTCCCTCCAACACCAAAACAAACACACACACTCGAGCTCACGGCTTTTGAAGAACCTTGCACAGGTCTGAACGAGGCAGCTTTGCCACCTGATACGGGGCAGGAGAAGGAATGGCATAAGCTCTGATGCCAAGGGTTAGAAGCTGAATGACTTTTCTCTCACCCCTGCCTACATATGAACACATATTTTCACAAAAGCTTTCATTCACAAATGGTAACTCATTTCAGAAAGAGTTTGGGGAGGGAGCAGATGGAGCTGGTTAAATTGTCCCATGTTTTCTATGCAGTGAAACCTCATTAAAATGTCATCTGGAAGCTAACGAGAAAAGTTCTTGCAACACAAAAAATAGACAAATCTGTAGCTGTTTTTTTCCCCAAGAGTTTATGGGTCTTTTATGCAAGCCTAAGTCATGAGTACATGCAGATAGGGACAGCTCAGACCGTGTTGTGCCGAGGTGTGGCATTTCATGAGGTCAGGAGAGAGGCTGATATCTTTTTACACCTTGGAGTGCCAACAGCTGGCAGTCCAGCCAGGGAGGTGCATGTTATC